ACAATTCCAAACCAGTTTGATGTCTTAGCTGTAAACATCACTTTGAATGAAGGCAGGATCTTATCTGTAGTGGGTTGTTATCGTCCCCCCTCAGCAACACCTGAGGCACTGTCCTCCCTGATGGAATTCCTTGGAAATTTAAAATTCAAAGAGATTGTTTTGGCAGGCGATTTCTACATTGACTGGGATAAGTCAACGCCCCTCTGTGATAAATTCAAGAAATGTTGCCTGTCACTTAATCTAACCCAACTGATTGACTCTCCCACTAGACCAAGCAAAAACTGTCCTGAAAAATCCTCCCTCTTAGACCTGTTTCTAACTGATATGCCTCATAAATTCCTTGGTACAGGTGTATTGGCTGACATTTTGAGTGATCATTGTGTAATAGTGGCTGTCAGAGATATTAAACTTCCACCTTTTAAGTCCAGATTAATTCAAAAAAGGGATCTGAAATGTTTTTGCAAATAGTCATTCCTCTGGGATCTATCTCACTTTGACTGGCATCGTATTCTATTAACTGACAACGTGAACACCGCTTGGAACTATTTTCTTAATAGTTTCATTTATTTTGTGAACAAACATGCTCCTTTTCGTCAGTTCAGAATAAAGGGACGAGACAGCCCCTGGTTTACTCCAGAGCTAGCTGACCTCAAGCACAGGAGAGATCATCTTTGGGCCGCAGCGAGAAAATCTGGCTCAGACACTGATTGGTTGAGTTTTCGGCAGATGAGGAATAAATGCACAACTGCCATCAAAGCTGCAAAACGCAACTATTTCTTATCTCAGACCTCCAAAAATCTAAATGACCCTAACAGATTCTGGAAAAACATCAAATCGCTCTCAGGCACCCCTCAATCATCAGACCTCCCATCACAACTTCTCGTTAACTCAGTTCCTATGTCAAATAAGCACGAGATCTTGAACTGTCTCAACAAACATGTTGTTGCTTCTAGTTCTTTATTTGACTAAGTTACTAAAGGAAAATCAGCCACTTCACTTAATAACCAAACTTCTACAAATCAAATCCCTCCTACAAGTCAATCCTCAGTTAATCTCACCTTCTCTTTTTTCCCTTCCCAGTTAATGAGGTTAATAAACTGTTAAAAGGTCTTGATCCTAAAAAATCTGTAAGACCAGATGAACTTCCACCTTATTTCTTAAGGCTGGCCACTCATATCATCACAGTCCCTGTGACCCACATCTTTAATCTTTCCATAAGACAAAACTCCATCCCAGACACTTGGAAAACAGTATTACGCAGCGCGTAATTACACACACACAGAAGGCTGAGTGATGAAATGTTTTTTTTTTGTGCAAGCACGTGCTTCATGTTGTGTCTGAATGGACCCACTGAGGCATTGACTACATCCTGCTTCGCCTTTAACCCAATAGCGATAGCCTTAAAGGGCGAAGCATATACGAAATAGAACGTTGGTTATGTACTATAACCCCAGATTCTATGAGTATAGGCTCAGTCCTTTAAGCTCTGGGCCTGACTGGTTCCTAAATGGCTGAAGAAAAAATTATATTTGGGCGCCGATTGCCCGATCTTACCATAATTTATATGGACCGGGGGTGGGGCCCACACAGCCGGTGGGCGTGGACTAGTTTTCAGTGCTGCGCGCGTTGGGATAAGCCTACTAGCGATAGCCTTATAGGGCTACGCCTATACTCATAGAATCTGGGGTTATGGTACGTAACCAACGTCTATCATGGTGCACTAAGATTCATAACTGGCTGTGATCATCGTACCCACCACTGCACCCTGTATTCACTGTTTAACTGGACATCATTAACTTCATGCAGACACTCTCACTGGTACATTTTCATCTTTAAATCACTTCTTGGTCTGCTGCCTACATACATCTCCTCCTTCATGTCTCTGCGTGAGTGCAGCTACAGCGTGTGCTCTCAGGACATTATTACCTGCAGTGTTCCCTCAGTGCGGACTGAACTTGGCAAAAGGGCCTTCTCCTACTCCACTCCTGTTTCCTGGAATATCCTACAAAATGATCTGAAGCTCTCGACCTTGACCTCTCTAAGTGGCTTTAAGAATCTGTTGGACTCCTGGCAAAAACCAACGCAGACATGCTCCTGTTTTTAGTTTTCTATATTCGCCTTATATTCTAGCTGTTTTGTTACTTTTTTTGCCATCTTATTTGTAAAAAAAAATCTGTATGCCTTTTTATAATCGTCTACTGTTGTCGCTGTTGTCCATTGTTGTCATTATTCTTTGTTGAAATCAGGTCTCTCTTGTAAATGAGTCCTCGAGGCTCAATGGGATTGACCAGTCTAAATAAAGGTTGAATGAATAAAATTAAAGGGCTTTAAGGACAGTTATTTTCTGGCCCACCCCAGTTCAGATCATACTTATTTTACTTATTTATTTGTTTCTTTAAACATCCTCAGAGTCAGAGTCAGAGTCAGAGTTTCTTTATTGTCATTCGCACCTCATGTGGTACATGTGGTGGAGCGAAATTATGTACACAGGGTCCCAGTTACATCCAACAATAAAATGTATAAGAAAAACAGTAATAACATCTAAGATATGAACTAAGAAAAACATCAACTAAATATACACTAAGCACTCATAACATAAAACATTGAACATCA